ACTAGCAACTTGGTGACTATTGGGATTAAACGTATTCTGCAGCGGTTTGTGCGGTCGTTGTAAAATTCCTTCTTGAACAATAGAACGGCCAGTGGTTCGCCCCAAGATGATGGAATGTGCTCTTGCGACCAGATGTGCATTAAATTAGTTACGGAACTTACAACGTTATCACGCACCTTGTCATGACATGCGACTTTTCCTTTTTTCATGGTTTGAATGTCAGGTCGTACTTCTGCCTCCGAAATCCTCAGTGCCGTCGGGGGTGGGTGTCTAGGGTTGTGGCTGGTCACCATCCCACCTCACGAAATACCCAATACGACCAAGCGTTGCCAAAATATTGAAAATCGGTTCTCGAGCAAGCGTTTCAGAAAGCCTCTGCTGAGGAAGCCCTACTTACTGCCTTCTCGCGGCGGAGGTGTTTTCCCAACAAAGTAAGAGGACAAAAAACCGATATCCGGGGCTATTACCGGGTTGGTGAACCACTGTTAGTTCACTGGTAGTTGATTGAAAACCCTGATTCCAAACTAACCCTGAGGTGGCGTACGAACTACATCCACATCTTTTCGTTTGTGGCAGTGGTCACCTGCTCGATTGGACATTGAGGTGATTTGGGCACCTTGAACGTTTGACCCCGTCCGAAGGGCGTATAATCCGATGAACTGAACAGCGGCTCCTAATGGACTGCGGTTCTCACACACCGCCCCGCCGCCTTGCGAGTTAGGCTTTGGCTACCCGAAGGCTGTGGTTGTGGATTCCTCAAGAAAATTCACCTGCCTTGGCCTGGTCAACATGGCACTATTCAGCTCACAAGCCAATCATGGAACATTTTCTTTTTCATGAAGATTATTGTGCCGTGATTTTCTTGGCACAGTCTGTCCTCAGAGAGGTGTGAAATATAATAATAATGATCCTACTTCTGCTCCTGCGGGAGACTCACACGAGACTGCGAACGGAGGCTCAGATAAAACAGATGAGATAGTCTGGTTACATTTTCAATCAGATTACGTGTCGTCTAAACTTCGAAGTTGTTCTACTCATGAAGGCTGCTGCCTCTAAGTTGAATAACTTCACTTGGGCGTATACCATCGTTGTCAATTAACTCCGTACGTCAGTGGAGTTCAGTTCCAAATAATGAGTGCCCCACCCATAGTTTTACTATTATGGCGGAGCAACTTCTTTCGAGATAGATGGTATTATGGTGTGGAATAATCATGGTTCACTGTTGTTTTTCTGGAATCACGAGGAGAAGAAACTCAGTCAAAATTTTGTCGTAAGATTGGGCTATATGATTTCCATCTGGAATCAACTACCGAGATTCCTCATCTGAAAAAGTGGCTGCTCAGACCGTGGTTGGATTCCCATTATAGACATAATCACTGAAGGCCAAAGTGAACTTATGTAGGTCATGCCAGTATTACATGAGGACCTTTGAGAATAAACGTATTCTTGTCACTGGAAATCAAACTATGCCATCCTAAGTCAAGATGATGTGACTTCCAACCGTACACGATGGTCATCAATATGACTGTCTATTATCCACGGTACTGATTTCATCTTAGTGCAGTTTGTAACACTTGCTGTACACGCCACACAGTCAAACATTATTGTTGAATTTAATGTAAAATGATTGTAATTCTTGATGCGGATCTTGGTGTTGGTGTGTTCTCCGAGCTGGAGATGTTGTTCGCAAAAGTTTCGTAGCCAGCATAGGCAACAATATCAGTCCAAATTCGGGGAAGCCTCAGTCCTCGGTTTAGCTGGGCTTATATGGTTCTTTTCGAGGGTTTCGATTGGCTGTTTGCTTCTATTCAATTTTATCGTTCGACTGCGACTTGATTGGCTGGTTCTTTATCATTGTGACCCCTTTTTCCTCATTGGTCGATTAGCTTTCTTGAACCAGCCGCAAATCGGTTCCGAACTGGCTAGAACTGGATCTGAACCGGTTCTGGCGGGGGCAGTTATGGGTTCCCATTCTGTATGCTTGTTTATACTGTCGCTCTTAGAATGTCATACTTCGATGAGTTCCCGTATTTTTTGTGGTTCCGCTAACAATTACTCTTACGTTGTCTAGTTCGAAGATGTGGTTCTCAGCATGTGTGGATTAAAACTTGCGACTTCTCCTCCTGTCTTTTGACCGCAATTGTTTTTGTGTAGTTACATCTGTTAGATTGTATTGTATTGTGTATGACTTTTGCAAGCACTGGAGCTCACATTTCAGTTAAAAAAATCATACACCAGCTTATACAACAGCTCAAAAGTTTGGCTTCCTCTGCCTTTTGAGGCTTTTTGATAGAGCTGCAGTGCGCTTTTACTCGCTTGAAAAGTGTTTGTACGCAGCTCCTTTTGTGTGCCAGTGGCTAGTTACTCTGAAAGCTGAGGATTTTATCCGTGTGTGTTGGCTTTCCAGTTACGCATTTTCAGTTTGTTTGACTAGTACGTCCAGAAGGGGTAGTTGTTCGTTCGGTTCCTTCTCCAAGATGAATTTGATTCCAGTGATTAGGTGGTGCGTCTTTTCCAGTTGGCTAGATTTCAGGATAGCAAAGGTGTCATCGACTATCCTGACGCACAACTTCGGGTTGATGATCGGACTTGGAGTGGTCTCCAATTTTTATATAGCCTCTTCTGCGATGAGTCCTAAACTTGTAGATCCCATCGGGGTACCCCGTCTCTGTTCGTTGAATTTGAAATACGTGAATCCCAAAGGTCCTGGAGGTTTTCTCGTCTGATTGGGCTAGTTGTTGGGTTGTTATTATGGGTGTGGATTTGAGCTGCCATGGTTGGTTTCACCAAGTTTCACCAAGATATCGATAACATCAAATAAGACCATGGTTTCAATTTCCAAACCAACCCAATTGTATTGATCGCACCTACTACCTGATTTGAAGTTGCACTTGGGAGCTGTCTCTGGCTGCAATCCGTCGAATTCCACATTTAACGTTCGAGTCATACCAGCATAACTGATTTCACCCTTTTCGTCACTCAATGGAAATCTGTATCCGGTACTCTTCTGTCATGCTATACGTGTACACCGGTTATGAATTACTCCATATTGTCTTCGTCTCCATCTCAGCGAGCTTTCTCAAGGCACCTTTCCGATAAACCGCACATAGAAGGTTGCTTCTACTTCTTGTTTACTTTTTACCGTAAGACTGTACGACACTCATTCCTTATGTGCTTGTTAGAGCGAGTTGTGGTAGGTGTTTGTGTATTTGTTATGTAAACGTTTCAAGATAAACACTCTGAAGTGTCCATACTAGACACAAGAGTAACCTCTTTTATTGCGACTATTGTGCGATGAACAGCAGCGGGGTAAACTTCATAGTCACAAATACCTAACGTTTGCATATAGTAACTGGCAACCTAAACCTCAGAATTTGGAATGGAAAATCACACAAAGTCCCAATAAGCTGGGGAATTAAGCCATACAAAAACGAAGCCGATGAAAATTGAGGTAGCTACATAAAGTTGGCGTTCATTTTCGGCAGATAGATTTGAACAACCTCACTCCGAACCCTTGAAAGAGCACTATGACCCACAAGATAATGGGGTGGTGCTTCATCTGAAGCTTGTATCCAATCGGTAAAATCATAATTCCCTCGAAGTACGCTTCCAAGTACGAAGCGTCTAATACATTTCAATACAATTTCATCACGGCATTAGGCTCTTGATTGCATGACAAGTAGTCCTTGGATCAGTTAGTACCCCTCAGTATAGGTGATTTGAAAGTAAGTTTGTTAACTACTCAATACACACAAATCACCGGTGTTTTTTCAACCTGGTTATATCCTCGAAAATCACCTTCTCACTGCCAATGTTCTTTTTACTCCTCCCCAAAACTACTTTTAAAAATATCTGTCTAGGAGCTCTCGTGTCCAATGTGCACAAATGTCCCTGGAACGTTACGGTGGTTGGCTGGCCAAATTGTTGCAACACACTCGAGGTGGACTGCCAGTTCGTGTACGTCGGGATCACGACGTGTCGGAGGATTCTCACGCTCCCGGGACTATCTTTATCAACTTGGCCAACTGTGTGGGAACTGTGATCGCGGTCAATGGCGCACGATGCTATTTCAGTCTATATCATCCGGTGATTCATCGAGTAGAATCCAGTGGAGAATCTTCGGTCAGTTAGCATAAAGAAGTTTTCCGTTTGCTGTCCATTATCTATAATGATTGATCCTCTGTGAACAGATGTTCGGCCAATCCGTTTTATCTGTGTGGTATCCGTCAAGAATTTTGCTTTCCTCTGTATGTTCCGATCGTCCTTGATCTGTACACATTTGCGTGGCAGATCAACTGAATATTTAAGTAACTCTGGTTATGGTTTTGTTGTTCCCAAGATACACAGCTTTGAAAGAGTCAGGTAACTGCTCTAATGGATTGGAAATCCTTTGAACTTTCTGTTTGCCGAGGCAGGTGTTGGATGGGAGAAGGTAAAGGGTGGTCAAACTCATACCTGGCGTGAGAATACGAAAAATCTGATTCTGATAGTTTCTCACATAGGCCGCATTAGGCTTTCTGGATGGGGACCCCGAGACCATCGTAACTGGTGGTTAGAGGTGAGTGATATGTCTGAGTAACGCAAACAGTGGCGTTCGCGCAGTTACTCGTTAACCTTGCAACCTTGGTCCATGTGAAACCTCTCTTCTCTTTGAATCTGCTCGTTCTGCTCTTTTATGGGCATGAGACAGCAACAAAAACAGTTACTCGGAAGTGCATGGTTAATGGTTGTAAACACTTGAACTAAATTGTGCGTCAGTGAATTTGCTAGCCTTCTAAATTGTGTTATTTCAATTGTGCATAATGTTTCAGAATGATTTACTTAATAGTATTGATTCAGTGTTAACTTTAGCTCTGAGATTTAGTGAATCTTGTCCCTTATTCACTGTCATTTCAGTTTCAGGTTTCACAACCATTAACCATGCATTTTCATGTGCTGGTTTTGGTTGCTGTCTTTGGGCCGACCATTTGGATAAATGAGTAGATTAAAGATTGGAATGTTGAGAGCAGAGTCAAAGTGAAGATAGCGAATTCATATAGACTGGGGTTGAAAGAATGATGAGTAGATGCACAAGCGCCACTGTTTGCAACACCCGGCCATTTCACTCAGTGTCTCTAACCGGTTGCCATCATCTCGAGCTCCCCATCCAGGGAGCCTAACGGGACCTATGTGATCCATTCTCATGATCAGGGTTTTCATACTCTTATGCCAGGTCTTATTTTGACCGCCCTTCACCTTTTTCATTCAGCTGCATGCCTCGGCAAACATCGCTCGCAGTGGCAATCTATTTGGTGACATGCGCAGCACATGTCCTAACTTGCGTTGTCTATGGAGGTCGGCCACTTGCTCTAGTGGACGACCGTGACTACCTAAAACTCTACTTCTTGCCTCAGCATTGCTGTTCCAGTTTCCCCACCAAAATCGTGCAATGCAGGATAGAGAGCGGTGTTCGAACATCGACAATCTAATTTTACCTGGCTCCCGTAATGGCCAAGTATCTGCACCGAATAACAGCACTGCCCGAACTGCTGCAGCATACACTCTACGGACAGCTGGATGTCGCGACGCCGACACTGATGCCTCAAGTTGGCAAATGCTAACCGAGCCTTCTGTATCCGTGCCGACACTTCATCTGTGACGCATCCACCGGATGAGATGTAGCTACCCAAATAACAAAACTTATCCGCTTGCTCTATTACTTCCCCAGTTAAAGTGGGGCTGCGTACTGGACTAACATTTTACACCTTGAAGGTGCAAAACGTAGGTTTACTCGCAGTCGAGCTATCCAGAAAATCTTGCAACTGACATCGATCTTCACTTAGCAGCACAATCTCGTCTACATACTCCAGATCAGACAGTCTACCACCTCCGAGCAAATCGGTGCCGAACGAGAACAGGGTTGTTTCCGTAATCAAATCTATGACGAAGTCGAATAGAAGCGGAGAGAGAGCAACCCTGACGAACACCACTTTCTGTGGTGAACTCGGGAGAAAAAGTTTCGTAATTTCGAACTCGGTTTCAGCTATTAGTGTGAACAAATCGCTAAATTAAAGTAAACTTCTCGGGCACACCCCTCAAAGCTTCACAGCACCTGTGTTTAGAGTAGTCGAGTGGATCGAAGGCGACTTTCAGATCGAGGAAGATAGAAATGGTGGGTCTACGAAAGGATTGTCCGTACTCTGAAATTCGTCGAAGTTTGAAATTGTGGTCCATAAAACCTCGATCAGGTCTAAAACCAACCTGGTTCTGACGCGTTCACCGTCCACATGCGACAGACAATCGTTGAGTAGAACACCAGCGAGAAGCTTAGAGACGATCTTCATTAAACCAATTCCTCTGTGGCTTTCACAAGAAGACCTGTGACCTTTCTTGTAAATCGGTATGATCATTGATTCACACCATTCCGTTGTAATCTCTTCCGTCTCTCACACCGATCCCAGGGGTTTCTTTAACTCCAAAACCAAGGCTAGACCTCCATTCTTAAATGCCAATGGGGACAGCCTGTCGGGGCCGGAAGCCTTATACCTTTTGAGATAGTTTTCTTCCCGGGTAATCTCCTTTTCAGATGGAGGAAAGATGTCAATTGGCGGTATTTGTCTAGTTGAACCGGGTATAGCGATATTTTCTGTCGACGCGGACCATCTGATCGGTATCTTACAATGTTCTGCCCAACGTTTCAGATGGCGTTCCTGAATAAGAATCAGTTTGCCGTCAGACCCCTAATTACCTCACGCCTACTTTCCTTGGTCCTGTACTCCTAATTAACCGAAAATATTGCGACTATTACCGATAGTCGCAGCCTTCTCCATCCCTCTACACTTGCCTACCCACCACTTCTCGCGGTCATTCCTCAGACTCTTGATGAGCTGGAGTTTAAGGGATCTGCGAGCTTTGTTGTACTTTGATTCAGAAGGACTGGCTTCGCGATCGTCCAGCAAGACAACCGAGGTTGGGTAGATCCATCACTGTGCTATGTTTATGCGCTAGGATCCGATGTTGTCCTAATCGACGTTTGGATGGCTTCCTTGATTGCTGTCCAGTGTTCACTGAGTCCTCCGGTTGATGATTGAGCTGAAAGACAATCAGATAGTTCCGCTTTGAAGGCCGAGTTGCAACCATTGCTGACACTATTGTGGGCACCCCTTTTTGGGTGGCTTTTCTGCGGTTGTTTACTAGGTGTAGGGAGAATCTCGCTCGTTGCAGAGCATGGTCCGTGTCCACGGGTGTTGATCAGTAGGAGCGGCAGTCTTCAATGGATCTTCGCCAGCGGTGGCTGGTGGCGATATGGTCCACTTGAGTCCATTGCTGTGAAGAGGTTGGGAGTTTGCATGGAAGGCGGTGTCGTTTCTTGTGCGAGTTGGTGCTTGACAGGGGCAGTGCGTGGTCATTTTTTCATTTTTTTGAAATGAAAAAAACATTGGAGTAATAGAGGTCCTTGTAGAATTCATCCTTCATTTCTGGTGAACTGCAATCGGCCGATGCATACACGGCTGCGACGAATAGACACAGACGCTTTGTCATGTAGCTGTTAACCCGTGCTGAACCAACCAGAAATACAACCGGAATCCAGCCAAGAAATGAACGCTCGGCCTTGATACCTGGCGAAATTCCAACAGTAGCAACATCGCGAACTTCGGATGCCGAATCTTCTGACACGGCGAGTGAGGTGTGTGGATGAGGTCGCAAGGTGATGATTGCAGTTGGATATTGTATACGTGTTTCAAAGACACAACACACATCTAAATTGAAAGTTTTAAGCTAAGACAGCTTGTTGACCGATCTGATAGTTTGCGGACATTTAATAGGGCTAAGTGAAAAGGAGATTTTGGTTTTCAAAAATCTGATAGCTTTTGATTGGTTGACCTCAGTGGTTGAACGCTGAGAGTGACACCTCATGACTGGTGCAAACAGGAGGAGGAGGAGAAGAATTAGAGAAGGGACTGAACAGATGAGCAAGAGTATTTTCCAAATGGGTACCTAAGACTTTGGGGATGGACATATTTCGCAGTAGCCCACTCGTAAGAAGGGAATTTCTTTGGGAACTATAATCAAAGCCTCTTGATTGGTTTGGAATCAAGGTTTTTAGCTAACTGTTCTAGCTGAACTGCCAGTAGTTCATCGACCCGGTCTCAGTCTCGGATATTGGCTTTTCATCCTCACTTTGGTGGGAGAACACCTGAGCCACGAGAAAGCAGTGAGTGGAGTCTCCTCAACAGAGGCTGTTTGAAACTGTTGGTCGCATGAGAACATTTCGGGAAGTGCAACGGAGGGATCACCAGCCGCAACCCGAGACACCCACCCGCAACCGTACTGAAACTTTCAGAGGCGATTTCGACCTTATCCTATAATCTGGCTAGTACTCAAAGCTTTTCCTGGGAGTCAGACCCTAATGTCAATTTATAAAATTTTTTTCTGTATATTTAATTTTTCGGTGTTCATCCTATCCCACTGACCTTTCACATATTGCTGAGTTTTCTGTTCGTTCAGTGGACACTATCAAGTTCCTTGACGCTATCTTAAAAAATAATATGAAGTGGTTTTCTTATATTCCGATTGCTGTCGACAAAATGAGACAATCGTTCCCTCATTTTCAAACTGTTTTTCATTTGTTTACCAGCATGTTTTCTCCATTATTCTTCATCGGTCCCTAGCCATCCTCCCAGGTTTATTTAAAAAGATTTCATTGCTTTCCTTTGCTACCTAGCCATCTTCAACCTCGTTTCCCCTCTTCACATAGACTCTCTTCACTTCAACTCCAACGATTCTCATATTGCTTCTTGTCCGAGTTATGCTTACATGATCCACGTTGACAACTCACATCGTCGATTCGGTTTATCTTTCTGCCATCCCCATTCTTGACTTACATTCGGTTTTCGGCTCATTCTTTGTAGAACTTGTATAAATATGAATTTCCCTATCCTTTGTCTTATTCTATAACAGCGTTACTTTTTTCACGGAAATGCAGGTATACCCGCTTACAAAATTGTGTCAGTAAAGTGTAAAATAATACTGGGAATACTTTTTTTTGTTTAAATATAAGACCATGCGGGTAAATAATAACCTGTATCGCCTAAACCATCTTCCTTTGGGCTCCGTCATGTGCACTTAAAATGAAGCTCACTTTATGGCACACCATAAAACGCTACTCCTAAATGATTTGTTGTTGTTACATTCCAGAATTCTTCAGATACTGCTGGCTCGGATACAGAAGCCTGTCGACGTACACTTAAACCAGACCCAGACGCTGTTCAGGTTGCCAGAGGAGGTGAGGGTCCCCGATTACGCCGCAGACGGATTTTTGCACATGCGTTTGGACTGGATTCCGATGATGATATTGATCCTGACAGTTTGGATATGTTTGAACCGTCAACCAGGAAACGGGCCTCCTCTGAATATGCGGATGACATTCTACTAGAGAGTGAACTGCTCGATGGATTGCCAAATTGGCTTGATCGTCTCTTTGAAGGTTCTTTGGCTCGGCACCAGCTTCAAGAGTGGCCAATCAATATGCGTGGTGATGATTACTAGATAAATAGATAAAGAAAAACCTCCATCTTTTCTTGATTTATCCCCGCGTTCCTCAAAGCCCCTTGCTCAACATGAAGAAAGGAAGGAACGAAACTCCTTTGTGGCTGTGTTTCTGCTAGAAGAAGAAACAAACAGTTTCATTTACTTTCCGCCCTCCTCCTTCCCACATTACTGCATTTATAGTGGTTACATTTTCTACTTACACAATGGTTCTTGTTGTACGGTATGTTACTGGTTTTTTGATTCTTTGTTGATTTTAAAACCCACCTCACCGGGAGCATGTGTGCCCGCCTTCATTGTCAAAATAATAAAGATGAATTCAAAGTCGAATTTTGAATTAATTACGCTTCAAGTATAGACCATATTTATTTTTCCGTTCCTCAAACGGTCGTCTGTAGGAAAAAAACAATAATCACTGATCAAATGAAGTAAGTGTAAGCTCTTTTAGCACTCGAAAAGTGGCTTACTCATTCTTCGAAGATTCGATTTCCCTTTTAAGATCAACCATGTGAAATCCAATAAAACTTATTTATTAATCCATTTGGTTATCATGGTTTCTTAACACTGTTCTGACAATCAGTCTCAATGGAATTTGAACATTGTTATCGGTTACGAAGTTTAAAAGTAATCACAGAATGGTTCTTTATAAGTGTCAGAGCTCTCTGCCCAGCGGACGTGACCATGTTCGTGTTTGGTTTGTGGGGTCAGTGTAATCTATGATTCCAGATACTATTTAACATAGCCAAGTGTTATATACCAATCGGCGTATCTGGCTTGCGCATATTCAATGATCTCACTTCAGTAGCTCTTTCGGCCTTTTGTTTATTTCTATTCCCGTGTGAATAGAATGAATGGTGAATCAGAAGATAGCGACCAATTCCGGAGCTCGAAAAGGATTTGTTGATGGTTATGTGAGTTAAACCCCATCTATAATTGGCACTTGAATAGACAAACAATTAAGGTTGTGCCTTCAGTAAAAATTGTACGCGTCAGGATACCTGCCTTCTGTTGCTACGTAATCCAACTTCGGGGAACGAGATGTGTCGCATTTCAGTTCGCTTTGAGTCAATTTTTAAGTACAATGGACGCGCTTGATATAATCAAGTCTGACTCCCTTTCCGACGGCTTGATTTCTAACGATGTAGCTTGTGAGATTTTGGCTGATTGCTCAATGTGCGGGAAAGGGGTATGGCCGTACTTTTGAAAACCGTATTCAGCAATTGACTACTTTTAAGCTTATCAGTAACCACTTTGGGTGAATTTTGACGTTGCTACGACAGCGTTAGATTTTTGCCTGGAACCTGTTCTCATTAGCATATTCCTCGCTAGTAGAGATTCCCTTGAAAAATGTAAGATTATATCCCAATTTCCTGAAACGAAAAAAAACAGTCTTTTACCTCTGAATTAATCTGTTACATTTCCCGACTGATGTTCAAAATATTTCTCACCGGTCCTTTCACTTATCAAGCGAAATAAAACTGGCAAACTAGCCCCTGTTGCATGAGACAGTCGGTTTGGAAAAAAGCGATCAATATTGTTAAGTTTCGTCATTATCAGTCACCGTCTTTTCTTCTAAAGACCGTTATGTGGAATTAATTTTGTGTAATAAACAGCTATGAACCTCACATTTAGTCATCCTTGTGTCATGGTGGAGTCCGTATTCCGGTCAAAATCAGAACACGTTTAATCTGTTATCATAGCTTCAGGTTTCACGTTTATTTTGTTTTGTTTGATGAATATGGTCTTTGTTGCCTTTGAAGAAGTTTAGATCGCAAAGTAAAACTGAATAATTCTCCGAGTTTATTGATAAGAGTCGTAGAAAATGGTCCAACGCGTCATACGAAAACTGTATTCCAAGCATTAAGAATTACACTCATTCGATATCTGCCTCCTGAGAACAGCCGTGACTATCCAGTAATGACCCATATCACGCTAGTGACGAGTCGAAAGATGCATTCCATATTGCATGCACGATACGCCAAAAGCGTGCAAAAACTGCGGACGAATAAGGTCTATGAAAAATCTACGCTCAATTAATAAGAGTAAAACTTAACCTCTGTAAATGCCGTCAAGCACCGAATTAGTCAGCTTTTAAATGCAGGTCTCCGGAGTTTAAAAAAGTGGTAACTGCACTGCTTTCTTTCAGTGTACTCCTAGCATCCAAACTCGTAGCAACTGCGTTCGACCGCAGAACTACGGGATTATGTCGCTTCCTTTCTGTTCGTACCAGTAAGACGCACGCCGTCCTTGTAAGCAGT